GTCCATATCCCTGCAAACAACAGGTTGTAGGGTCCATGAGAACATTTTTAGGATCCCGTTTACTCTTTGCCCCTGTGCAGTTGAGTATTTCTGCCTGTTTCTGCAAAACAGCTCTGAAGTTATTGATGCCACTTTTCAGTCCAGATGAGATGAACTAGAAAACGATTTTTATTTATTTTTTATCATTATGAGCCCTCATCTTGTCAGTCTGGTTTTCCTCAGCAGCAGCAGTAAATCAGTACACTCTCCTTTAGATTTGAGTTCAGCCCAGCCCTTCAGCCAGTCTGTGTGTTTTAGCTTGAACTACCCCACAGTTCAGCTGTTTGCCATAATTATCATTTGGTGCTGTGACCTCCTGCTCTTGCAAACAAAGCAAAACCAGGCAGAATAAATCAGCCTCAACGAATTGTTTTATCTGTAATTTTCCAGTTGAATGGCACATTGTGAACATTCTCAGTTGAGTAGCTGCTGCAGCATGTTGATAAGATCAGTTAATAGACTGATAGAAGCTTGACTTCATTGCTTGCCAAGAACTAATGCCATGCTCAGTCTTAAACACTGTTCAGCGTTTCCAAGGACAGCCATCCCAAAACGGCAAAATGATTTTTCAAACGTGTATTCAGTGTTTATCTGCGTCCATGTCAGTAAATGTTTGTGTTCATAGTTCAGCTGCACAAAAGTGTAATGCTCAATGATTCAAGGACTCAAGGTTCTTTAGTTGTTATTCGCACCACATGTGGTGGAACGGAATTGTGCACACGGGGTCCCAGTTACAGCCAACAAAATTATTAAAATGTGAGTAAAAGAAAAACAGTAATAAGATCTAAGATATGAACTAAGAAAAATGTTAACTAAAAATACATTAAGCACTAATAGTAGAAAAACAATACACCGAACAGCAGCATGAACGAGTCTGTGTGAGCAGATGAGCAGGCATGAACACAGCAGCATGAAACAGATCAGCAGCAACTTGAAACAGATCAGCAGCAGCATGATGTGATTTTTCACAGTGATTATTCTGGTTAGAGATTCATGAGTCTAACAGCCTCAGGGTAGAAGCTGTTCCTCAGTCTTGTGGTTCTACACTTAATGCTCCTTAACCTCCTTCCTGAGGGGAGTGGGGCAAAAAGTGTGTGTGCTGGGTGAGTGGGGTCCTTCGTGATGCAAGTGGCCCTCTTCCTGCATCTGGAGGTGTCGATGTCTGTGATGGTGGGGAGACTGACTCAGCTTCCGTTTCAGCTGTAGCTTGTGATGGAGAGCAGATTTGTTCATCGACTATTCAAAAGACAAGAAGAAACATGATCAGAAACATGATGCAAGTCAACAAGTCTCCTCAAAATGTTTCCACAAAATAGACATCTGTGTTTTGTCTTCTGCTCTTGATTTGATCCGTGTTTTTTTTTTTTGTCTGAACTTTGGTTCCAACAGTTTAGATGATGGAAGGTGTGTTCCAACCATCTTATCACCAGCAGACTAGTTGCTCCACTAAAGGAGTGTACTGCTTTATAGGGAAAACAGTTTACTTGGGACGCCTCAGACCAATGAATCCCTCCGGATAGAGGGCAAAACGTCTTTCCACACAAAAGAAACTGTCCAGATGACCTGATTGACCATTGTTGGATTTTGTACCTGGATGATTGAGTATGAATTTTTGTGTCTAAGTTCTTAATAATTTCCCACCACTTAAATGAGAGAGACCTGCATTAACTCAGACAACTTTTAAAGTTAAACCAAGAACACTTCCACATTTCGCAAAGTCAATTTGTGTAAGATGATTTTACTGTAAAACTTGTGTGCATGCTTTGTGAGTATGTGCGTTGTATGACTTTGCTTGTTGTTTTCAGCCTTTGCTTCCTGTAGTTTACTTGTTTGCTGCCGACAGGCTACAGCAGCTGGTGGCTAATGACTTTACACATGAGAGGACGGACTTGTTCATTCCTCAGAGACAACGTCGCACAACTCCATCTTTGCCACTGTAGACCTCGATTGTGAAAAAAAGATTCATTTATTTTGTAACCAGCTGGTACGCTCATTTGGGATCACAGGGTGTGAAGATGACCATTAATTACCGCTGTGGCTTTCACTTGTTGCTGCCTAATTAGTTTACTGGTTTTTATTAATGCGCAGTGCTTCTAAATTGTGTTATCATTTCTTCAGAGGTGGCAGCGATTACACAAACACAAAGCCAAGTAGCTGCGCCGCAACAATGAATAGTTTGAATAGTTCATGTGTGAGGCTTTGAGCAGTCGGCAGCGCTGAAAGTACTCTGTACAATTCACAGCTAAAAAATGCCTCTCTTGTGGCATCTTGTAAACTCTGTGGGTTTTATTGAGATACAGTATGTTCATTAGCATATAAGACCATTGTTGAAAAATCTTATTGGATTGCTATAATTTTTGATTTGTATTAAAGACACTTTATAAAAAGTCAAAAATCTGAAAATAAACTAAGTTTCCAACACTTTAAAAAAAATAAAAAATGGTGGACCCTAAAGAACAATGTTACAAATTAATAAAAATTTACTTTACAAGACATGATGAAAATACAAGATTTTGTGTAACCTAATTCAAGATGGCCACCACAACCAACTGACCTTAGAAAACACAAAAATGTCTGTAACCTCAGTCAGTTTTACACATCCTGAGCTTAGATATGGTAGAAAAGTAAATGAGCCATTTACAATTCATACCTCAAGTGCGAGTCGTTGTGTTCATATTTTCATAAAACTTCTGAGTCAAGCCTGTTTGTCTGATAGCAAAGTAGCTAACAAATAATGGGCACTTGTTAATAAAAGTTTCAGAAAATAATCATTAGATGTACGTCTACAACTCATTAACTTTCAGAGCCAACCCAGTTCATAATGGCCACTATAACCAACTGACCTTAACACAAAAAATGGCTTTACCTCAGTCATTTTTGAATTTATTGAGCTAAAATATGGAGCGGCAATAGTTCTGAGAGTCAGAGCAATGATCTCATGTCACTCACATGAGATTGTGCAAAGCATTATTTTTAAAGTTTGACCAAAACTGACACAGTTTCATAATTTATTGACACGGTCTCAGTCTAAAACTTGGCATGTAAGGCAGTGGGCGATATATTTCAAAGATTTTTGGGTCTTTATTTTTAAATAAGAACGGTGTTAAGATGTAATAAATAAACTAAACAACAGAAACAACAGTAGTTGACAGACACCAAAATTCATGCTCAATAATCCAGGTATAAAATCCAACAATGTTCAGTCAGGTCATCTGAACAATTTTTATTTTTATTTTTTTTTTGTTGTTGTGCTGAGACGTTTCGCCCTCCATCCAGAAGGCTTCATCAGTCTGAGGAAACGCCAAACAAATCTGATATTCACCCAACAGCCTACTCCAAAGTGGAAAAAAATAAAGTTATGTTGGTGCTAAGATGGCCTCTGGGGCACACCCTCTCCTCCGGTGCCCGCCCTCTCCCTCATTGACAGTCATGTCAAACTGGTTCAAAACATCAAAGTCCATGCTCAATAATCCAGGTGTAAAATCCAGCAATGTTCAGTCTAACATAGACGTACATCTGCAGCGGTCACTAGTTAAAGCATTACTAATACACCAGTTAAACAAGAGCAGAAAACATTGGACATTTTTTCCTCTTATCACCACTTTTAAATTTTGTAACAATTAAATGAAGACATGCTGTTAATAAGCATTTATATGTTTGTTGAAAGATGGATGTATTATAGTATAGTCTCCATACATACATGCAAATGTACATATAAACTTTCTTTTGTCCAGAAAATTGAATTAAACTTACATACACACATGTCAACACTAGACGGAGTGTCGAGTAAACGTCATTACTCCATCCCAAACTCAGTCACAAATCAAGGTCAAAGTTCAACCAAGGACTTTCTTGCCCAGGTCGTAACTTCTGATCAGCTCAAGTTAATTTATTGAAATCATATGAATATGTACCATCAGACAACGTGTCACGTAATCTTTTCATCATCCCAGTTCCAAAGTCAAGGTTACAAGTCAAGGTCAAATGTTATACAAGATCTTTGCTGTCCAGACCGTTGCTATAGATTGTTTTATAGTAGTTTGTCGATGAGCGTAAAATGTGCTGTACTCTTGTTGTATTTATTTGAGTTCTGCAGCTCATCATACTCCCTAACTTGCAGAGTCTTAACTGGAGTTAGACGGAGAGATCATATCACTCCAGTGGCTCCCTGTCAAATCCAGAATTAAATTCAAAATCTTACTTCTAACCTACAAAGCTCTCAACAACCTAGCTCCATCTTATATTTGAGCTCTTCTTGTTCCATATTATCCTAACAGAGCACGTCACTCTTAGACTGCAGGCTTACTCGTTGTTCCTAGAGTCTCCAAAAGCAGAATGGGAGGAAGATCGTTCTGTTATCAGGCTCCTCTTTTGTGGAACCAACTTCCAGTTTCTGTCCAAGAGTCTGACACATTGTCCAGTTTTAAGACAGGGATTAAGACTCTCCTTTTTGATAAATCCTATAGTTAGGGTTGGCTTGTTATGCTGCCCGAAGCTTAATGACGACTGGAGGACAAATTGACCTCATTTTCTTAAATGAATTGTTAAAATTGAACAGTTCTCATTTGATACTATTTCTATTTTAACATGATTCGCGACCTGCCATTGTGTATCTGTTACTTCTTCCTGTTCCCATCAAACCCAGCCGGTCGAAGCAGATGGCCGCTTGTCCTGAGCCTGATTCTGCTAAAGGTTTCTTCCTCATGAGGGAGTTTTTTCTTTCCACTGTCGCCTTCATGCTTGCTCAACATGAGTTCTGTGATGGAGTTAAACTCAAAGCAGTCTGCGCCTCAGATAAACAATGTTAACTTATTTTTTATTTGAATGTTTCTGTTCAGTGACCTGAGATGACTTCTGTTGTGACCTGGCACCATTTAAATAAACTGTATTGAACTACCAACCTCAGAAACCTCTAACTTCGATTTATAAAACCCCTAACATGTTTGTTTCTATATCAACAGGGACACAAAGGCTATACTGGTCCTTCTGGTCTCCCGGGTGAAACTGTGAGTATTTCTTCCTCCCAGAAATCACAGTTCAAGTTGCTTATACACATGCATACATGTGTTATTGTTAGCTCTATGTCAAACTAACAGCTTATTTAAGAACAACTGTTAGTCTTAAAGTGTGTTTTTCTAAGACAGCAGTCTGTGTTGTCCATCTGTAAAACAGAAGTAAGGAGGTGAACAGCAGAGACGAACTGTCAGCAAAGACGTTTTGCAGTTTTTACACAAGCAGCTGATGTATCTCAACGCTTACGACAGATAGATATATGTAGTTCACAAGGCTTTGTGGGAAGGAGATTTTTGGCAGATGTACAAGTAGGTTAAATAGTTTGAACATTGTAGGTCAGACTTCCTTCACATCCTCCTCCTTCTCCTCTCACTCCTTCCTGAGTAATATGTCTTAGAGGAATGTGCCCTGTCACAACCAAAACTGGTGTTTTATTTATATATTTTTTTAGTTGGGTGCACTATTTTTATAAAAAATTACTCGACTAGCATCCATCTTTCCCCCTCCTGATCCATTAAAGATCAGTGGTGACACCTTGTGCTGGGATGACATTTGTTGCTTACTGCAGACAGCTTTATTTGATTTTTAAATAAAAAAAAAGTGTTATATTTTGCCTCACACAAGTGTATTTTCACACAAACTGCTCCTCAGGAATAAAAAAAAACCTGAGTTTGGATGTTTCTTTGAATTCTAACAATTTTAGCATGTATTTTTGTTGAAACTTGACAATTTAACCCACATATTTAATCACAATTTTTATGGTTGATTGATTAAACTGTGCTTTTAATGCTTTAATAAATTAAATTTGTGTAGTGTTTAATGAGACTCACATATGGAATATCACTGACAACAGCACAGCAGCTTATTTATGAGTCTGGTAGTGGCAGAGAGCTCACATATTGTATTATAAGACTGGATCCAAAACTGTTTTCTGAATATTGAAGCCAGAAGAGGACCAGCATCCCCATAGGCTGATCGCAATTCATTTCTAAGCCCCAATCTTCGATGTGATTTAACGGGGCTTTGCCCTTATCAAAGGTAAAAATATAGATGTTTTTTTTTCCTGGTGTTGACACATAGTTCTTACCTTTCTGTTGTATGCTTAGGAGTTTAGCAGTAGTTAAATATTTCAGCTTTAGGAAGTTGTTCTTATGAAAGTAAGCAGGAGTCTTCCATTGCTAGTTTGGAGAGTCTGGTCCTAAAAATGCAACATAGCAAAACACACAGTGATGTTCTGATAGCTTGTACTCTTAATAATGAAAGAAGGTGGGGACAGTTGGTCTAGTAATATGCCTTTGTAATGATGTTTGACATGGGATACAGAATGTTTGCAGGAAAAGTGTTTCAGAGGTTTTGAAGTTCCAAAGTGTCTCCAAAGGTTCACAATCTGGTGGTTTGAATGGAGAGCAGCTCCGTTCTAAGGTGTTGCACAGCGCCAAAGTTCAGGGGGTTGGAGAAATATTGAGAAACAAGGACATGCAGGGATTTAGCTGAAAATGAGATTTTCAAATGTAATTGGAAAACATGATTGGACGCCAGAGTGAAAAACGATCGACAAAAAGTGTCAGGTTTTAATGTGGTTGAGAACTACAGAAGATTCCAATTTTCTACTCCAAATGGAAGTTTGAAAAGACTGAAAAAAACATTTTAAATTAATCTCGATTGAAATCTTGAGAGGTTTTGAAGTTAAAAAAAAGTAAATTTGTTGAAAGTGGACTCTAACATGATGACAAAGCTGTGGACTTTGAAGAATGAGCAGATTTTGTTCCAGAAGGAGACCTCCAACCTTCCTGGTGTTATTCTAGTTGTCACAATCATGGGTAGGTTTTGTTGCTCTTAAGTGTGAGGAGGATAATGACCATTTTAAGGCTTTAGTGTCACACAGGGAGTGAGGTGCAACTTCAGCAGATCGTTTGGTGTCAAGTGTGCCTTTTGTTGGGCATACATTAGAAGGGTGTTCAAACATAAAGCCTTGTGGTACACCTTGGTTAAATGGGGCAACACAAGTGCAAAAGCTGAAGTCATTACTTTTCAATAATATGACTGAGACCAGAAGGCTTTAGACTGGTGTACAACTGAAAGGTTTACAGCCTGTGTATGAGCCTCTGAGGTGTATCATGATCTCCTTACTGTGTTGAACCCACATGCAGGAAGGCAACGGAGATGCCAAGTAAAAAGTAAAATAACTAAGTTTCTTATAAATAAACCAAACAAAATGCTAGTCGGACAGCAAACTTACTTTGTAAGGAGGGAACATAGAGGGAGACAGAACACACCAGGCTTGAGAGCATAATCCACAGAGACACTAACAAAACAAAAGACAAACACCTGGGGTGATTAGGATTACAGACAGGTGTGACAGGAGCTGAATCAACAAGGAGGGAAAACACGAATGACAGGACAAGAACCCAGAAACACTACAAGGTGGTGTTCTGAATATGAGAAAATAGCTCTACTGACAAAACAGAATTAAAATGTGGGTACTTAAATTTGATATACTCCTTAAACCAATATTATGTGCAATGGGTTAAATGCAAAGGCTAATTTCACCATTGTATGGGAACATACAATGATGACAACACACAGCTTTTATTATTATTATGTTTATTTATCAGAATAAATTTTAGACATATCACTGGAAGACCTGTAAAATGTGTTTTTCTTACATGCATCCTGCAAAACAAACCAAATCACCTTTGTCTATTTAGAACTTTCCAACTCTGCTGTATTTTAGCTGTATTCAAATAACATAATAAAATGGTTGTTTAACAAAAAAACAAAAAAAAATCTTAAAATGGATTATAACATTTTTCAGTCAAGTCATCTGGACAGTTTCTTTTTTTCTTGTGCTGAAACGTTTCACCTTCCATCCAGAAGGCTTCATCAGTCAAGGAAACACACAACTGATTCTTCCCCCAACAGCTTACTCCAAAGTGGAACAAACCAGTTATGTTGGTGCTAAGATGGTGTCTTTGGCATGCCCCCTCCTCCGGTGCCGGCCCTCTCCCTCGTCGACAATCATGTCAAACTGGTTCAAAACCATCAAAGTCCAGATGACCTGACTGAAAATTGTTGGGTTGTATACCTGGATTATTGAGCATGGACCTTGTTGGTTGAAATGGATTAGTTTATCACAATAACCTACAATATATTTTAAGTAAACTAAATAACTTTCTGTGTATGTTGCTACTGGCAGAGCTGAGCTGCAAACCTGGAGTGTTTTCTCATTCGATACAGTGAGCAGAAACACTACTCTTAACTAAATCCGTCTTATAAATTAATCCAGTGATGGCTTTTCTTCTATCTACATTTTGGTCTGTTAGCACAGCATACACTGAAAAATGCTGCTGAAATTACACAAACACAGCCATTACCAGTAATAAATGTGATTGCCCTATAGTTTACTTTATGAACGGCCTGTAATTTCTTGCATACTTTCACTAATTAACTTTGTTTGGGGTTTAATATGCAGTTCATGTAATATTGAACATTCTTCTCTGAGAGATGCATTTGGTTTGGTCCCACCACAAGGAAGGAATGACTCATGTAACATACACATTGATGAGGATGATTATACCAAAGCCAAACTGTTCCCACAGTAGTCGTACCAGCATGGGGCTTGACCACAATGAAACAGAACTTACTGTCGGATTATTAGAATAATTGAAGTCTGTTGTGGTGCCCCTTTCATTCCCATTTCGAATTTAACCAAACAAAAGGCCTTTATAGAAAGGCTGGGAGATTTTAATATGTTTGTATGAGCATATAACTGTAAATAAAGTGTTATTTTTAGAATATTTTTTATTTTCTAACCCTCTATTACAACAATCAACGATTGTACATTATGTGTGCATAAAAGACCTTCCTTCCTCCTTCCTCATTCTCTTTCCTGCCTTCATTCTTGTTCTGTTCTGGTGCTGATTTCTGTACGGTCTTTGTTTCTACAGGGGGAACGGGGAGATGATGGAAGCCCTGGGGCCAAAGGCTATCCTGGCAGGCAGGTGCAGTAAATCTAGGGTTGCGGTGCTGATTGAACAGGGCCACACTCACAAGTGCACACACACAAACGACAGAAAGAAAAATACAGAAGATAAAAATAATTTAAAAAAAAATCCTTTTATTGTTTGTTAAACTTAAGGAAAGCTGAAATCTACCATTTACATGAACTATGTTTTGTCAATTAATTTGATTTATGGTCAGAATGGTAAATATGAGGGTATATAAAATGGAGTGCTAAGTGTTGTGTATGACACATGTCCTTATAAAGATTAATATTTAAAGTAAATGCATGCGGGTACAAACAAAAACAAATTCAGCCTCCTGCATGTTTGTGTCAAACCCCCAAAATCTACAAGTTTTCCTGCACCTGTGGTGTAATTCAGCAAAATACAGTATGCTTCTGATTTTATGAGGAATAATGTCAAAAGGTTTCCATAGTAAGCACCACCCCGAAGAAAGAAAATGTAATTAAACTGATGGTGCCACGACTCCTAGAGTACAAAAAAGCTGCTTTTTTCTGTCCAAACTGTGTGCATCAGTCCGTGCCCCATTTTTCTGAAAGTTCTTTAGTATAAAACTAAATATGGGGAATTTTAAGACTCTTCTGCATTTAAAGTCAGTTGATTTTTTTTTGCTTTAAGCAAGATGAACCCCTACCCATAAAATGTGGTTAATTTTCACTTATTTTCAATCTGTGTTTGAAAGTTTAAGACACAAGAGTCCAGGCATGAGGGTCAGTGACTGAATACTTCAGCACTTATTATGTCAGAATTCAGCTGCACAGTAAAGAGTAATGGATTAGGTTTTAGCACCCCCTACCATTTGTATGTTGTGGGTCCCTTCAGCTTCAAGCTCTCCATCAAGATGCTGCACGTGGAACGCTCTCCTGAGCCAAAAGTTGCTTGAACCAATTGTCTGGGCTAAATTGTAGTCATAATGCTCATTATGCTAATTATAGAAAATAAAGCAACAATTGCTGACTTGAACTTGTGTTTATTCCTGATTATTGCAGTTTTGTTTGTATTGCACAGGTTTGTTAAACCCTATTGAGAAACATTGTCTAGATCAAAACTCTTAAAGGATCAAATTAAGTTGTGCCACTTTTTGCAATGTCATAAATGTATTTTTATAATTTGTTTCACATCAGGGATTTCCTGGACCTATGGGGGAAAAGGGGCTAAAAGGAATTGGGGTAAGTAGAATTTAACAAGTTTAGTTAAAGTAGATGGTGCATCATATCAGTTCTTTTCTTTTTTGTAAATATAAACGTGTGGCCATGAACAGTTTCTTTAAAAGATCATACATGTTTTTTCTTTGGTTTATTTAATGTTCTTATTTAATACCATTCGTCTTCACTTAATTTTGGAGCCACAAAATGTAGAGGATCATTTTTCTAACATTACTGAATTGTTTCCTTTTTCAAAAAAGTGTCAACTGTCTGTTAAATGTCTGCCCAACTAATGCAGGTACTCTGAATAAAAATATAAACACAACACTTTTGTTTTTGCTCCCATTTTTTATGAGCTGAACTCAAAGATCTAAGACTTTTTTTGTCGACACAAAATAACTTTATTTCAAAGACTATTCGCAAAGGGTGGCATGGTGGCGCAGTTGAAAGAGCGGTTGCCTCTCAGTGAGAAGGTCGCCAGATCAAATCCCGGCCCGGCATCTTTCTGGGTGGAGTTTGCATGTTCTCTCCGTGCATGTGTGGGTTTTCTCCGTGTACTCTGCATCCCACAGCCCAACAACATGCATGTTAGTTTGATTGGTAACTCTAAAATGTCTGTAGGTGAGAGAGTGAATGGTTGTTTGTTTCGTTGGTCTCTGTGTCCCTGTGATGGACTGGAGACCTGTCCAGTGTGTACCCCGCCTCTCGCACACTGATGGACATGGGCACCAGCAACGCAAAAAGGAAGAAGCGGGTAAAGATGGTAGATGGAAAGCTTGCTCACAAATTTGTGTAAATCCTTCCAATCCTTTGCTGAGATAATCTATCCACCTCACAGGTGTGGTATATCCATATGTTGATTAGACAGCATGATTATTGCACAGGTGTGCCTTTGGCTGGCCATAATCAAAGGCCACTTTTAAATGTTCAAATGTTCACATTTGATGGTGTATGGCAAATTGGAGAGGTGTTCTCATCACAGATGAATCCTGGTTTTTACTGTACAGGGCAGATGGCAGACTGCGTGTGTGGCGTCGTGTGGGTGAGCAGTTTCCTGATGTCAATATTGTGAATCAAGTGGTCCATGGTGGTGGTGGGGTTGTTGTGGTATGGGAATATGTATGTTTTGGACAACGAACACAGGTGCATTTTACTGATGTTTTTTTAAATGCACAGATATACCGTGACGAGATCTTGAGGTCCACTGTTGTACCATTCATCTATGACCTTCATGTTGCAGCAGGATAATGCACGGCCCTGCGTTGCAAGGATCTGTGCACAATTCCTGGAAGCTGAAAACATCCCAGTTCTTGCATGGCCAGCATGTCACCCATTGAGCATGTTTGGGATGCTCTGGGTTGGTGTATATAACAGCATGTTTCAGTATCTGGCAATATCCAGCAACTTGGCAGCCATTGAGGAGGAGTGGACCATCAGTCAACAACCTGATCAACTCTACAAGAAGGAGATGCACTGTGTGAGGCAAATGGTGGTCTCACTAGATACTGACTGGTTTTCTGACAGACATTCCCCAGACCCCACCGGATGCCCCTGTAATACAGTAAAAGTGAACTGCACATTTTAGAGTGGTCTTTTATTGTGGTCAGCCTAAGGCTCACCTACGCAATATTCCTGCTGTCTAATGAGATCTTGATATGGCTGTGAGGTGGACGTATTATCTCAACAAAGAAGAAGTCAGAGTCAGAGTCAGAGTTTCTTTATTGTCATTCGCACCTCATGTGGTACATGTGGTGGAGCAAAATTATGTACACGGGGTCCCAGTTACATCCAACAATAAAATGTCTAAGAAAAACAGTAATAACATCTAAGTTATGAACTAAGAAAAACATCAACTAAATATACACTAAGCACTCATAACATAAAACATTGAACATCAGCACAAACATGAACATGAATGAACATGTGTGAGCGGATGTGCACGCATGAACACATCAACATTTAAACAGATCAGCAGCAACATGAAACAGATCAGCAGCAACATGATATGGTTTTTCACAGTGATTATTCTAGTTAGAGATTCATGAGTCTAATAGCCTCAGGGTAGAAGCTGTTCCTCAGTCTAGTGGTTCTACACTTAATGCTCCTTAACCTCCTTCCTGAGGGGAGTGGGGCAAAAAGTGTGTGTGCTGGGTGGGTGGGGTCCTTCATGATGCAGGTGGCCCTCTTCCTGCATCTGGAGGTGTAGATGTCTGTGATGGTGGGGAGACTGATTCCAACAGATTTCTGTGCAGCCTTCACCACTCTCTGCAAAGCTTTTCTTTCTGCAGCTGTGCTGCCTCCATGCCACACGTTGATGCTCGAGCACAGGATGCTCTCCACTGCACACCTGTAGAAGGAGGTGAGGACTGAGCTTCCCAGACCAGCTCGCCTCAGCCGTCTGAGGAAGTAGAGTCTCTGATGAGCTTTCTTGATCAGGCTGGTGGTATTGTTGCTCCAGCTGAGGTTGTCATTCATGTGTACACCCAACTACTTGTAGCTGGAGACCACTTCCACCGCAGATCCTCTTATGTTCAGGGGGGTGTAGATGTTTTTGTTCCTTCTGAAGTCCACAATCATCTCCTTTGTCTTCTTCACATTGATGTGAAGGTTATTCTCTCTGCACCAGCTCTCCAGGTGTTCCACCTCTTGCCTGTAGCTGGACTCATCATTGTTTGTGATGCATCCCACCACCGCTGTATCATCTGCAAACTTTACAATGTGACAGCCTGGATGGGTAGCTGCACAATCATATGTGAGCAGAGTAAACAGAAGGGGGCTCAACACACATCCCTGAGGATCACTAACAAAGATTTAGACAAATTAGTGAACAATATTTGAGGACAAAAGGCCTATTGTGTACATAGAAAAGCATTTGAGTTCAGCTCATGAAAAATGGGAGCAAAAACAAAAGTTTTGTGTTTATAATTTTATTCAGTGTATATAAAAAATGTCATTAACACCCGGGTACGAGTCTGTACTTAGTTGATAAAAATATACTCAACCAAACATCATAAAACCTGTTTTCTCAGATGTAGAACGTAACTCTTGATACCCTCAAATGAGATTTCAAAGCATTTTTATTGTTGTTTTTGATTTTCTGCTGAGCTGCTTTTGCACAAAGATCTTCAGAGATCCCTGATGTGAGGGTATGTGCCCTTGGACTACATCGTGGAAGCCAGCACCATGCAGTCCATGGGCATATACACTTACCTCAAGGCTTTACTCTTCAACACCACTCCACTGTTGGAAAAAACCTGGCAGAACTAGAACAGACTGCAGTTTTTAAAACCATTTTAGAGATTTTTGTGTCGTCTGCATCAACATCCAACAATTTTGACGAGCGTCCGCCATCTTACCTCACTCATTGTGTGCCCTTATTCTCTCTTTTTTTTTTCTCCCCCATTTCAATCTATGTGCGTTTTTATCTGTTCCTCTGCTCCATCTTTTATTCATCTCTCCAGGGTCACATTGGCATCCCTGGGCTTTTTGGCTTTTCTGGTCCTGACGGGGAGAGAGTGAGTATCAGTGTCTGAGAGTGAACCTGCGGGGTTGCATTATGACTGTCCATGGGCCAAAAGGATGAAACTGAAATAAATGTCATTGTTGATGTAATGAGACACCAGAGGCAGATTTCACCAAATCAGTATTCTAAGCTTAAAGGAGAGCAAGGTCCTTTTATGTAGTGTCCAATCAAGTTTTGCACCACAACCCACATACTACCTGGATAATTTTTTAAAGTGTAAAAGACAGGTCTAAATGTACTCAAACCAACCTGTAATTTAAAATTCTCATCGTCCTTCAAATGATTTGCTCAAAACAGTAACTTTTTTTTTTTCTTCTAATAAAACCGTTTCACCCTGTATTCTGGAGATTTGTTATAATTGAGCCAGGAAAACAATTTCACATCAAGAGCCACTTATAGGCTGCTTGGATTCTTCTCATAATAGTTTTGATCTTCATCACTTGATACGTTTTGTGCAGTCCTTATGGAATGCAATATTTAAATATCCTTTTTATCTTAAGTATTTTAAGATCACATGACTCGAAAAGGAAAATACGGGTTAAGGTAATGGATGGATGTTGGAGATGATGATGTGGTGCCTATAAAAAAGCTGTGAAATGGAGCTTTTAAAAGATTTTTGGCAGCAATTGATACTTACGTAAGGTATAAATTTCATATTTATTTTTTTGGCTCACTCTTAATTTAAAACAACACATAAATTTTGTTTTTATTGTGTTCCAATTATTTGATTTTAGTTTTTAATGAGTGTAGTAACTTTACATTGCTTAGAAAGTTTTAGCTACCACGAGCACAACTTTAAATTAATGCATTAATATCCTTCCTTCAGGTCCTTACCCAACATGTTGTCTTACAGCTTTTCTGTTCTTATTTTTTGGGTTTGTTTCTAGGGAATTCCTGGTGTGCATGGGAAGAAGGGGAAGATGGGTAGGCCGGTAAAGTTTTCTCTCAACATACTTCTCACAAAACATTGTTAAGGCACGGTTGTAATCTAATCTTTGAGCAATTAAACTGTAAAGTTTGTTAAATAGCTTGGACATTTTAATGTAAAATCCCTTCTCACTTCACTCGTATGCATGTAGAAACAGTAGCAGTAATGACAATATAAAAAAATTGATTTTGAAATACATGAGTCTGCAGTTTATCACATTTCTTGCTGTTTTGTTAAGTAGAAGTTAGAAGCTTCATATAAAGTGGGAGTATTTATGATCTCTGAATTATTTGCTCTGGGTGGTGTTAATTAGGAAGATTTGTTTTTTAGACAGCATACTTATTACTGGGCTTGTAACGCACTGGACACATATACTGTATTAATGGGATGTGTTACTTGTGGCTTTGGCCCTCTGGAGGCTTTGCCCACAAGACGAGGGAAGTCTGTCGTCATCGGCGCCTGGAAGTAAACTTCCCATCTCTCCAGGCTAGCATGGAAAATACTTATACTGCACACTAATCACTTGTATAAATGGACTTGTTCCCAGGCTGAGTGTGGGCTGTAAAAGATTTCTTAAAGTTATTGTGCAATTATGGTCAGTGACATATACTGAGGTCTAAAAGTATGCATGTAAAAGCCAAACAAAACAACTTGGACAAAATAACTAATCTAACGTTTTACCACAAAGGAAGAAAAATGACAAGTACATGTGCTTTTAAAAACATGAAAACAGGCAAATGCACTTTTGTTGTGTCAGCTGTGCAGATGCTTTCAACAAAGTGTTTTTTTTTATTTTTGATGAATGAAGAACAGATACAGATGCAGTGACAGATATTAAAATAACTGTACCGCGTACGGCACTTTATACACCTGTCGACAAACTGCTATACAGCAATCTATAGGAATGGCTTGGACAAGCCAAGACCTTGTATGATCTTTGACCTTGATTTGTGACCTTGAAATTTGGATGGGCTGATGAAATGTGTTTGCAACACTTGTGTGTATGCAACATGTGTATGAGTTTCATTAAATTATCCTGAGTGAATCAGAAGTTATGGCCCAGACAAGAGAAAGCTTTCAGATAGATGGCGACCATACCATAATACGTCCATCTTTTGATTCAAGGATTCAAGGTTCTTTATTTGTCATACGCACTACATGTGGTACATGAGGTGGAACTAGATTGTGTACACAGGGTCCCAGTTAAATCCAACAAAAGTATAAAATGTAAAAAAAAAAAACGTAATAAGATCTAAGATATGGACTAAGAAAAACATCAACTAAAAATGCACTAAGCACTAGTAGTATAAAAACAATACAGCAGCACGAACATGAGTCTGTGTGAGCAGATGAGCACGAATGAACACAGCAACATGAAACAGGCAGCACGACGGCTCAGTGGTTAGCATTGTTGCCTCACAGCAAGACGGTCCTGGGTTCAATCCCCGTTTGGACCTGGGGTCTTTCTGGGTGGAGTTTGCATGTTCTTCCCGTGCTTGCGTAGGTTTTCTCTGGGTACTCCAGTTTCCTCTCACAGACCAAAAACATGCATGTTAGGCTGCCTACAGGCCCAGGCCTCCATTGCAAAAGAGATCAGTGATCTCAATGAGATTTGTCTGGTTAAATAAAGGTTAATAAAATAAAATAAAAACAGATCAGCAGCAACATGATGTGATTTTTCACAGTGATTATTCTGGTTAGAGATTCATGAGTCTAACAGTCTCAGGGTAGAAGCTGTTCCTCAGTCTAGTGGTTCTACACGTGATGCTCCTCAAACTCCTACCTAAGGGGAGTGGTCAAAAATTGTGTGTGCTGGGTGAGTGTGGTCCTTCATGATGCAGGTGGCTTTCTTCCTGCATCTGGAAGTGTAGATGTCTGTGATGGTGGAGAGTCTGACTCCAACAGACTTCTGTGCAGCCTTCACCACTCTCTGCAAAGCTTTTCTTTCTGCAGCTGTGCAGCCTCCATGCCACATGTTGATGCTGGAGCACAGGATGTTCTCCACTGCACACCTGTGTCAGGAGGTGAGGACTGAGCTTCCCAGTCCAGCTCATCTTAGCCGTCTGAGGAAGTAGAGTCTCTGTTGAGCTTTCTTGATCAGGCTGGTGGTGTTGTTGCCTCAGCTGAGGTTGTCATTCAGGTGCACACCCAAGTACTTGTAGCTGGAGACAACTTCCACTGCAGATCCTCTTATGTTCGGGGGGTGGGGGTAGGTGTGTTTTTTTTTTCCATCTGAAGTCTACGACCATCTCCTTCCTCTTCTTCACATTGTTGTGAAGGTTGTTCTTCCTGCACCAGCTCTCCAGGTGTTCCACCTCCTTCCTGTAGCTGGACTCATCGTTGTTTGTGATGCATCCCACCACCACTGCATCGTCTGCAAACTTTACAATATGACAGCCTGGATGGGTAGGTGCATTGATGGGCAAATAATAAAAAATTAAACCAGTTGCCTAAAACTCAGAACAGAGTTGTCAAACTGAGTAAGGTATTGACACTTACAGCAAGATTCTACATATTTGGTGTAGGCATGTTGCACTACACTAAATACCACTAATTATCCTGCCCAGATGTCTCAGAAGTCTTCTTTCATCGAATCGGCTGCTATATGTCTTCAGACAGAAAATAAAGGAGATTTTTGTTGTTCAGTCATCTGTCATTTACATCCCTGTAGCACTCGCTTTGTTTGAGCCAACTGTTCAGCTGTGATGTGTGTTGACCTTGGCCTGGTGACAAGCACATGATGTGCGCGTGGCCTCGCGGCTGCATCACAGCTCATGTTCTGCCTCCATAAAAAAGGCTTGGTCAGCAGTTTTTGTGCCAGGCAGCTTTATTCAGCCATTTAGGCAATTCCTGGGGGGGTTTGGTTTGCAGGATTCTGAGCACTCCCTGCCAGCATGTGCACTCATGGACACTCGGAAACACTCAGCCATGGAATTTCCTGCTGGTCTCTCAGGAATAAAAGCTCTGGGAGCATATTTAATGGGATTTGCTTGGCTCTACGATGCAGAATTGTGTTTTGGGAGGCAGTTTTCTGATCCCCAGTGTTCATGATAACCACTTACGGACAAATTGTGTGAGATCTAAATATTCCACAAACAAATTAGCATTTTGACAATTTGAACATGATAATGTCACTCAGCTCTCTTTCTGGTTACCTGATGATCTGTTTATATTTGCACTCAGGGCTTTCCTGGTGACTTTGGAGAGAGAGGACCACCAGGCTCTGATGGTAACCCAGTAAGTGAATAAAAAGGGATTTATTTACAGGCTTATCTCCTTTTGTTCAATGATATACCCCATATAGACCCAGCACATTGTTCCTGATAGAGAATTCAACAAACATTTTATTGTCACACACATTAACTTACTTAGCAACAAATCTAATTCGTCTTCTTTCGGCTTTTCCCTCTTCAGGGGTTGCCACAGTGAGTCGTCCTCATCCATCTCTGTCCTCTGCATCCTCTGTCCTCACTCCAACTACCTCCATGTCCTCTCTAACTGCATCCACATATCTCCACTTTGGCCTTCCTGTTTGTCTTTTTCCTGGCAGCTGCATTTCTAACATTCTTCTACCAATATACCCACTGTTCCTCCTCTGGACATGTCCAAACCATCTCAGTCTGGCCTCTCTAACTTTATCTTCCAGTTGTTCAACCTGTGCTGTACCTCTGATTAGCTCATTATTAATCTTATCTATCCTTGTCATTCCTAAGGAGAACCTAAACATCTTCATTTCTGCTACTTCCAGTTCTTTCTCCTGTCTTTTTGTCAATGCCACTGTCTCCAGACCATACAACATAGCTGGCCTCACCACTGTCTTGTAAACTTTTCTCCATCCACTCCATCCTGACTGAAGTCTCTTTTTCATCTCTTTACCTTCACTCCCCATTTTCCTAGACAATGGACACCAAGTCCTTGATGTCCTGCTCCTTTGTGACCTCTGCTTCTTGTAGCCTCACTGTTCCACCAGCCTCCCTCTCATTCACACACATGGACTCTGTCTCACTATGGCTGACTTTCATTCCTCTTCTTTCAAGTGCATACCTCCACCTCTCCAAATTCTCTTCCACCTGTTCCCTGCTCTAACCACAGATCATAATGTCATCTGTCATCAGCAAAAAAATCTACTACAAAATGCTATTCTATTACATTTTTAAATTGTGCCCTCACTCTGAAGGGTGTAACGTAACAGAGTCCAAACTCATATTACTGCACCATGTTATCCCTACACGAGACAGACTGTGAAGCAGTTGTTTTCTCGTCCATCATAATCCACACTGATATGAGGGCAGCAGCAGTTTCACTCACTGCTCCACTTTCTACAGTTTGACCCAAACTGCTCGTGACTGGCGAGGTCAGTGTTAGACTCAGATTGGCTGACCTCAAAGAGTCTCCGTCAGACTACATTTCCTCGTTTTCTCCAGAGAGAAGAGGGGATGTTCTGTTTGGCATTATTCGTCTCTTATCCATTAAAAGAGAGACCTAGGACCTGACAGCAAGGCCACCCTGTGCACATTTCTCCACTGTATGAGGAGGTTGGAGAGGATGTTAGCTTGGCATGTGGCTCCTGAGTAGATTGTTTAGGCAACAAGCCACTCTGTGTCTGGTGCCCATTCACTAAGATTAAGAGCTGGAACACTTCTTGTGTTATCATGGGGGAGGAGGACACTTTTTATCAGATATAACATAGAAACACAGTATTCTGTCAAAGAAGTCCTACCCATACAGCTCTGTACGCTCTTCTTTAATGTGTATTTTCTCCTGTTTCTTCTCAGGGGGAACTGGGACCTCCTGGTCCATGTGGAGTCAGTGGTCTTATTGTGAGTGTTGTAGCCATTATTGCTGCCTCTTAAAGTGTCTTTTTTTAATGGCAGGTTGTGCTTAAAGTAGTAGTGCCACACTGAACTGAAAGGAGTTGACAGAGGGCCATGTGGGAGACTTCAGTGTCTCACAACGTTTGTGGTGGTTCTCAAAGTCCTGCAGAGGCAAACAATCATCAACAATAATTAAGATGGACGAAGCACCATTCCTTGTTTATTCACTGTAACTGGCATTTTGACAGTTGCGTTTTGTGTTAATTGTAGGGCGACATGGGGCCTGTTGGCATAATGGGGTTATCAGGACTTGCAGGACTCAAGGTACAAGAAGCAGTTTTCTTGTTTTTTATCCATATTTGGCACTGATTTGATGTTAATTAGGCAGCTTTGGTTGTTCGCTTGAGGTTTCACTAATTAATCTAACCTTTACCTGACACGTGTACATAAACCAGCATGATCCAAATGCATGCCTGTCCACAAACAATGTTTAGTTATTCATTGCATCTTTTCTTTCGTTTTGCATCTAAGGGAGTAGCTGGAAATCCAGGGGAAGCAGGACTGAAAGGTGATAAGGTGATCTGCATATGTCTTTTTCAAACTAATAACCTTTTTTTGTTTCAATTTTAACGACGATAAAAGAATTATTCATTTTTAAGATAAAGCGACACAGTGCCTGAATTCACATCACATTTTACTCAGCCTTCATACCACAAGAGTTCTTTTTCAGACATTTGTTTTAACACTTTTATTTATTTATTTTTAATGTGTCTGCTTTATTTAAGGGTGATGTTGGCTTACCAGGAGAACAGGGGGAGCGTGGATTCAAAGGGGACAAGGTATGTTGGTTTATACTTTATTTATGTGACAGTGAAGACGATTGTTGTTTCAGTTCCTCGTTTCTTCTCTTTACATCCATTGTTCTCTAGTTAACGTAGACCAGCTGCATTTAAGTTACTTCAGACCCAATCAGAGTATTTGTGTACACAGGTTGATGAGTCATGTGGTAAAGTGCATTGTGTTGTTCTCAATGTGTTTATCCACACACGGTACATTTAATATTTTCTGTGCCAAGTTTCTGGCTCCAAAAGCAAAGGTTTGATGTGAAGTTGTGAAACGCCTTTGAAATGGCTCACTGATAGTTCTGCTTCAACTATAAACATATAAAATGTTAGTGTGGAATTCATCTGCTTTTATTTTAGTTGTATTTGATCTATTTGGTTTTGAACTTGATGATTTTATTCCAGGGCACCTCTGGCTTTCCCGGGTTGCCAGGTCCTCGTGGAAAATTTGGACCACAGGTATTTTTTGTTCATTTTTCAATCTCCACATGCCATTAAAAGAAAACCCACCCATTTCTGATCACACATGTCGAGTGCTTTGCATAAAAATCCCATACGGTGTTATTAATACAGCATGTTTTGACTCATACCAGATAAGTTCTCAAAACAAGTGCTTTAGTGGGATAATTTGGATTAAATTACAGAAAGTCAAGTTGGCTGCGCTGCTCAATACAGAGCTGAGATGCATTTTAAAGATACAGAAGTTTCTTGTTTTTTAGCTTGAGATTTTCTTATTAAGTTTACAATTTAGTTCAGAGGGTCCAAATAAAATGTTAAAATCTTTGTAGAAATCCTCACATGTGGACAAAAGAAAACGATCAAGACTCTTATGTTGGAAGGATGTTGAAACACAGGAGGAGCAGAGTTTCAACCTTTCACTTCGAATGATGAGTCGACTCTTGGGATTGGGTGTTCTGATTTGCTGAGTGCACAATCAAATGTGGGTCTTTGGGATGAAAAGATCAGTCTTCTGCTATTGCAACAATGACGGCAGTGCTTTCAAGGAACTGCAATAAACTTTTTTTTTCCCATTTATGATGGTTACTCTTCGTTTTGGAAGTTTATAAATTATTGTGTGAATGTTTATGAAGCATTCATACTGTTCTGATCCATTTTTCCTCCGTATGTTTTTCGGCATCCTGCTTGTTCCACAATTTTTGTGCTATTTCAACAAATCATAAATTACAACGTTCAGCATGTTCAGGACAAGGAAGCTATGACTTTTGGTATAACTTTAGTTTTTTTAAATATTTAGCCTTTTCTGCCACTTTTTCTTCTCATAGAAAATGAATTGAGCTCGTTTTACATCCTTCAACTCTTTAGATCTGTTTACAATCTTTTAGATCTGTTTACAAGCTTTTACTGCTCCTTTCACATTTTTTTCTGGTTCATCCTCTTTCTGCTTTTGCAAATGTAAACTTTTTCCAGCTACTTTAAATTAATTTCAGCTGGGTTTTATCAGCTGTTTAGTGATCCTTTTGGATGATTTCTGCTACCTACAATACTTTGTGCTTCTTGTAACTTCCATCCATCCATCCTTGGATGTTCTTCTACTTTCTGCAAGTTTCAGCTTTTTCTGCTATTTCAGCTACTATTTAACTGTTTTTTATGCTACTTTTAGCTTTTTCAGCTTATTCCACATTTTTTGCACTTGTTTCAACTGTTTTTCACCCTAATTCAGGGAAAATGTGCTCTCTGCACTTCCTTCTGGTAATTTAAGCTTCTTTCTGCTTTTTTTTAATCTATTTTTCAGCAGCTTTTTTGTTGTTGCTAATTTTAGCCTTTTCTGCTAATTCCACTTTTTTTTTTAGCTCAATTCAGCTCTTTCTGTTTCTTCTGGTAGTTAAGACCTTTTTCTGCCTTTTCAGATACTTTTAAGCATTTTTAAAAATTTGTTAATTTTATATATATATATATATATATATATATATATAAATATATATATATATATATATATATATATATAACTAGTTTCCTTATTTTTGTGCTAATTTCTGCTTATTTAAACCTAATTCAGCAAATATGTCTTATTTTTGCTCTTTTCTGATATTTAAGCTTGTTCTTCCATTTCAGCCAGATTTAAGCTTTTTTAGCTACTTTCAGCTATTTTCAGCAAGTTCTTCTGCAATAAAGCTGCATTTTTGCAGGAAATGCATTTTCTCTAGTTAATTTTAAATTCCAGAACACTGAGTGGCTTTTTAAAAGGGTCTCCAAGGCAGATTTATTCTTATACTCAGGATATTTTCGTTATAAATTCATGAGTTATGCTGACTTTACAAAATGTTTACAATTTATTTGTTGTGGTGTGAAATAATCTTGTGCTCATCTTAACATTTCTCAGGGTAAACATGGTGAAAAGGGTCCTGTTGGCAGACATGGCCCTCCTGGCCCAGAAGTAAGACAATCTTCTGCCTTTATTTTGTAGAGACATTTCTGTAGCTCCCCAAAATATAAATAAAAGGAATTAATCCACCATATTGTATTTTTATAAATATATAAGTAAAGCACATCTGTTTCTCACAGGGCTTCCCGGGTGACATTGGCCCACCAGGACAAAATGGCCTAAAGGGACTGAAGGTTGGTAAAGTAACATGAACTCATTTCTGTTGGGAAAAATGAAATGAATTTTCACCGTCAGTGCTTCATCCACAGGGAAAAGAAGGGACACAGGGGTCACCTGGCCCAGCAGGAAAACCTGGCCCTCAGGTGGGATTAACTACTTATTCTGCAAACGAGCTAGATATAAATGATATATGTATTACTTTAACATGAGCACTATTCTTCTTAGGGTGATGAAGGACCGCTTGGATCAGCAGGACCCGTTGGAGCCGAGGTGAGTGCTGATTGGAGGAGCCCTGAAATGACACAGAGGTTTCACACAAACGCCACAAAATGTGCTGCACACGAGTGGCTCTGCCTATATTTAGTTTTGGATGAACGAGAGTCTGTCGGTCTCTGGCTGCCTGATTCTTCTATTGTTCTAAACCTGACGGCCAGTCGGCCACTGTGGGCTCATTTTACACAAAACTCATCATCAAATTGCTTTAGTGATTTTTACCATAACACACATAGAATCACAAACAAAGGCAAAGCAAATATAAACCCTGATGGCTGAATGGATTTGAAGATGAATGCACAAAAAGTCTCGAACAAATAGAAAAATATATCTCGTTTTGTCACTTTTGTATGTTCTTATTGTTTCAAATGTATAAAAAAATGCAACAAAAATAGATAGGCAAAAAGCAAACAGATGAAAAAAGAAGGGCATCGTTTTTATGTAATATTCATCATGTTATTAAAACTCCTTAAATTCCAAATCTAAAACAATAATAATAATCTTGTCCTGCTATATAGTGTGATCTCTATTCTTAATCTTTTTTGTCGGATTCTCATTTTCAATCCTTTTGGCTTTTCTCTACTGCCGAGAGTGAAAATGAGTTTTTAAGCCAAAAAATGGGGAAGCAGCTGCTCCACCTGCTCCACGGAGCAGGCATCTGTTTTATACAATTACTTCAACTTGATAAGTTAGTTGCTGTTTTTTTCCCAAAACCGTGTAATCCTTGTTTTGTTCAAATTACGTGACTATTTGTTTATTCTTATACCAAAACTGAAAATGTTTGTGTCAGCTGCAACTAATTTTTAGTTTAACTCTCCTCTTGCCCTTCGGTCAAAACAACCCATGAGGCAAGATTGAGGTCTCTTGGGCCATTTTAACCCAAGGCAGCAGGAGGGTTGAGTATATTTGAAACTTTACTTACAGGTATGTAATTTATAATATGAACAGCCAAGCACACAACCCTGAGGAACGCCACAACATTTGTCCATGATGAATTATGTGAATTAATCTATTTAGACAAATCGATGTCTGCTTAAGTAGCTCATCATCCAATTCAGTCCAACCCCTGTGGTACCATGCCATTGCAGCATATTTTAGAATATGTCATGGTCAAAAGTCAAAAACTTTTTCACATCTGAAAACTCATAATTGCAGTCACTAAACTGAAAACTATCATCAAATATTTGAATAAATGTGAGTTAAATATGAGTTTTTTTATATCAGTATTTGGACATGAGCAGCATATAGACCATGCAAGGTAAATTTGCATTTTATTTAAGAAAAGTTGGATAGTTTGAACTGTTTGATCATAATTAAAATTCACTATAAGTGTCCGTGTTCAAAGGTGCGTTTGAAAGCAGCCCCCCCAGAGTAAACTATAGAAAACTGTTTTCCTGTGCATTTCTTTTTCTTTTTTTGCTGAGGTTGACTTCAGTCCACCATCACCTCCCAAAAGTCACAAATGATACCAAAAATAAAGAGAACTGCTGCTGCTGTGCACGTCTCTCATTTTCACTTTCTGTTCAGGGCAGGCCTGGGAGGCAAGGATTCCCTGGACCGACGGGCCCAGATGGACCCAAGGTCAGACTTAACAGTCACACATTCACCGCTGAGCTCCTGTCATCCTTAAATGAACATTCTCTCCCTGGTTCTCTTATGATAATGCATCATCTGAATATGTGTAAATTAGATGTTAATTCTCTGCTACCACAGGGGAGCTGACTTCTAAGCCCATTTTAACAAAGTGAACTGAAAAAAAAAAAAAAAAAAACGAAACGCCTGAATAAGTTTGTGAAATGCTAATTTAGCTGCTTTGCTGTAGGGCGAGATGGGGATAACTGGCGAGGTCGGGAAGCTTGGCGAGAAGGTAAAGGATTCTTCCGCTTCTCGTTTAAGCTTGATGCTCGTTTGTCTGTTTTCTCGGAGCCTCTGAGATGAGCAGCCATTGATGAGAAGCCTTTAATGAAGTTCACACACTGTATCCAAGACAAATATAAGATGCTGTGTTTTCTCTCCTTCAGGGACCGCCAGGTTTTATCGGGCCTGTTGGAGAGTTGGGTTTCGCAGGAGAAAAGGTTACCACAGTCTCTTTCAGTCCTACTTTACAGCCCGTCCAGTTTCAGCTCTTCAAAGTGTTATACAGAATCAGAATCAGGACATTTTTAAAGTCAGTGTTGTAAAAGTCATCTACCTAAATGTGGCTGTTGCTTTCTCAGGGGGATCGAGGTAAAATGGGTGTCCCTGGGCCTCCAGGTGAACCAGGTCCGATGGTAAGGAATAAGTCTGCCCCCACCTCTCATAGCAGAGACCATTCAGGTCCACATCTGTAAGGGATGTGGATGATTTGTTCAAAAAGACTCAAATAGTTTTTGGTCATTCATTTTTCGTGTCAAAATTCTAAGAGATGATTTTCTGACTTGATTGTAATGAATCGTGGAGATTTAATTTGCATAACGCTTCGTCCATTAGGGTCATGCTGGAATACCCGGAGAGGCAGGACCACCTGGACTACAGGGGATCCCAGTAGGTTTATCATTATCAGATCTTATAGAAAATCAGCCAGAACTCACAAGGATAAGAAACTCACTCAATCCTTCATTTGCTATTCTGAAGCTGCTCTCTCTGAGCTCTAAAAGAGCACTGGAAGCAGTTTTTAATGTGTTATTAAACATTTAAAAAGCTCAGTAAATGAGAGGCTTAAAAGCAAATATTGTACTTTGTATCATTTATTTATACTTTTAACTCCCTGTGCATTTAGCTTCCTATTGTTGTTAAAGACAAGAAGACTGTACGTTGAGTCTAAATTTCTATAATCTCAAAAAAAACATTTGTTTTTCATCCACATGCAGGGGCCTCTTGGTTCAAAAGGTTCTGCTGGCATTAGAGGACCTAAAGGCAGGATGGTAAGTTACTCCAAGCAGTAGGTTACACTTCTTTATGATTTATAAACAAATAATGAAAAAATACTCTGGCATAATTCAGTCTGCAACTAGTTAGTGGACTTTGCATTGAGTTTTAAAATGATTACTTGAGTTAATTAGTGATTAGTTTGTTACTTTATTCCGACCTGAAATATTTGAATGGTAAATTAGGTATTACACACATGCACATATACCTGTCCCCCTATATATATATGTATATATATATATATTCATTTATAATTACA